CATGCCAAGATTTTTATTCCCAGGACCATGTATCCTCTGACTGTGTATTCCTAAGAACTTCCATTTCATTAACTCTCATTTCAGTGAATTGTTGTGTGTTTCTTTCTTCTCTGCCATTTCTACAGTACTTTACAGTGAGTTAAAAGAAAATCTGTTAATATCTTCATACACGCACTCCTTTTGTACCACCACTGCTGGTTGTGTGCAAGGTCTGATGCCACGCCATCAGGCAAGGATTTCGGATTAGAAGCTGAGATAGTCTCTGAAGTCTGCAAAGAATGGGCACTTTATGTAGTGGTTTGTGGAGGTGAAAGATGCCAGCTTCATGACACTGTTTGTTGGTGGAATTGGGGAGGGAGAAGATAGAATAAGTCTAGATAAAAGACCCACGAATTTGACTTTGTTGCCTTTAGGCTGAGGTATATAAAAGGTTGCATTTTGCTACTTTATCTCTTTGCCTGCAGTGTTGGTTCTTTTTATATTGTCATATCAGGTGCCATAGTGTAGGCAGCTGGCTCCCTCTTTTGCTGACTTGTTCTTGCAAGTGGAGAAGAAAGAGAACCCAATCTTTATCTCAAAAGAATCTGTAGTATAAATACTCAAGCTTTTTTTCAGTTAAATATCAAAGACCTTGAATAAGAGCCAAGAAAAGCCAATCATGAAACAGTAACACAGGTTTAAGAGCCAAGGATCCTTATATATCGTTTTAAAATGGTCAGATTTTTTTTCCCCTGGTGAAAAAAGGAGAGGGGAAAGATGGAGGTTTGTGTGTGCTTTCAAAATCTCAACCTTTTTTCTTCTTCCCATGTATGCTTTAATTCCCTTGTCCCCCAGTGACCTGTATAATGCTGCCACTGTTGTTCTGTGCAAGGAGAACTAGATAGGAACGTCTCTAAAGTCAGTCAGCATTGTTCCTTAACAACTGTCCCTGCTGATGATTAAGTGACATTGATTGATATGTACACAGAATAGCTCAGTTATAGAACATGTACACTGGGCATTGTTGAGGTCAGGCTCAAGCCACCATTTGGAGTGTGCCACAGTGATGGTCAGGAGAGAACTTCCTGCAAACTAGTAGAGATAGGAAATTAGGCAGCGGATGTCTTGCAAATTATACTCCTGGTTCTTCAGTGTCCTGAGTACCCTCAACTCTCATTGAACTCAGTGGAGTTGAAGGCTCCTAATACTTTTCAGGAAATGCTCCGGACTGTGTAAGAAAGGACCCTACATAAATAACATCACTATCTTAGCTTGAGTAGCAAAAATGGACCATTGGACTTGCTTCCACACACAGTCTTGCAAAAAGGGGCTTTGGGGCTAGTTTCTGCGTGCAGTCTGGGAGATCAGTTGTTACTTTAATTTGTACAGGGTTTGTGTAATATTTTTCATAAGTGCTTACTTGTTTAATACTTTTTAAACCTGAGACAGCATTATGGGATGTCATCTTTCATGGTGATATCACCTAGAATGACAAAAATTGCCAGGTGTATTCGAATGATGCTACCTTCTGAATCGCAACCCATAAGTTGTGTGGCTGCTCATTCTTTCCATTTCAGTTGTAGCTGACAAACCACAGGTGACAGATACACACAGAAGTCATGGAAAAACTGACGTTTAACAGTACCATCTCCCCCAATAACCTCCTTATATTCTCAGGATTATGTGGGCTACACACATCTGAATTTAAGGTGATCCTTATTCAGTCCTTGAGCTGAAGAAAGTCTGTTCTGCTTGAGACTTAGCAGATGGGACATTGTAGAGATTCTCTTTCTCCATCCTTGCCTACTTTCCAGGTGACACTAGCATGTTATTGGACTTTTTATGCAACAAATTAAAATAGAGCTTTCAGTCTTAGTGCCCCTCATTGCCCAGGGTGTGTTACACTTGCTCTTCAGCTACTTTCATTTATTTCCTTGGCTTAGTAAATTCAACCTGTTTTCACTGCTTCTTTTAACTTCCAACCATCCTTCATACAAAAATATCCACTTGTACCAGAAGCCCAAGAGGTGAGTCAGGCAGGTACCTATGTTAGGTCTAATTTAAGCAAAGCAGCCAGCAGCAGCATTGGAAATAAACAATGGAAGGTGAAGGAACACTCTAAATAAAGAGGTCATAGGAACAAAACCACCAGCTTTCTTAACTTGCAGTTCAGTGAAGTGGCTTGCTTCATTTAATGAAACTATTTTTGATTCCACCCTCACATATACTCTAATAAGCTTTCTTTGCCCTTTGAACTCTCTGGACTGCTCAATTCATACCTTAAACTCTTATGGTGTGTCTGAATCCATCACAAGCCCTAACGCTGCCCAGGTGATGGCTCTGAAGATGGTCTTAAGGCATATGAATTGTCGTGGACTCCAGCCTTCAGTGTTGAATGCTTCTCCAATTGTATAGTGTATGTCCTTAGTTTATTTTCCTCTGTCTTTTTAATTCATTATTTTGATATCTCTGTAGTTTTTGTACAAAATGTGTCAGATAATGGCCAGTTATACAACAGAGCAGTGATGTTAGCTTCTGTGTTTGTAAATAAAGAGATATGTTTTATTTCTTAAACTTGTGGGTAAGTCTCTGTGTTCCTTTCATTCTATTATTATTATTTGTGTATTGTGGTAATTGTGATAGTCCCTGGAGGTCCTAGCCATGGATCATGACCTCATTGTGCTGGGTGCCGTAGAAACTTAGAAAACAACCGTCTCTGCTTCAAAGAGTTTACAGTCTTGGGATTATTTATTTATTTTGCAGCAAGAATTTGCTTGAATAAACTTTAACAAAAACACATTCTTAGTCTAATAAAAATATTTCCATATTCTAATAAACAAACAAAAAAACAGTGCAAGCAGATGGTCTTAATAACAAGTTTGCATTTGTGTGCAACCAGGGCCGGCTCTAGGCACCAGCAAAACAAGCTGGTGCTTGGGGCGGCACATTTTTAGGGGTGGCATGGCCCGGCCGCCCTAGCGCACCTCTGCTGCCGCTCGCGCGCCGCTACTCGCCCTCCTCCCAGGCTTGAGAGGGGGAGAAGCGGCGCCCGCGCCGTGGCCACTCGGAGTCTCCCCCTCCCTCCCAGGCTCTCAAACCTGGGAGGGAGGGGGAGATCCCGAGCGGCCGCGGCGCGCGAAACAGTTGTTTCGCGCGCCGCTGCTCTCCCTCCCAGGCTTGAAAGCCTGGGGGGAGGAGGCAGGGCTGGGGATTTGGGGAAGGGGCGGAATTGAGGCGGGGCCAGGAGTGGGGTAATTAAAAAACGGGGGGGGGCGGGGGCGGCCAAAATTGTTTTTGCTTTGGGCGGCAAAAATCCTAGAGCCGGCCCCGTGTGCAACACAAAAGTTCCTGGACAAAGAACCTGAAAGTGAAACTGACCGTAAGGAAAAGAAAAATTGACTTAATTGAATTTATGTTCCAGTACTCTGATGCTATGCTGAGCTTAGTATAAATATTGGGAGAATGTAGAGATGGAGAAAGTGAACAGCATAAATAGAGAACAGTAAACTGGATTTTAAAAATTCTTTCAGCTTTAATAATCTAAGGTGATGGTGGGAAGAGAGGTGCAGTTATTTTAGTGCTGTTCATTTTTAAGGAAAAAGTCCGTGTTCCTGCAATCTGATCTTTAGTAATATCCAATACTCAGTTTGCTGCTCAGGGATTACTTTTGTTTACTGGACTATTGTCACAATACTGTATTGCTCCATCAAAAATAAATACCATGTTTACTTCTCATGACACACGATACTTGGCACTTGATTGCACCTGTCTTTGAAGACTTTCACAACTCTGTGAACCATTGCTTTGGAACCATTCTCTTCTCTGCCTGCACCAACACCCGTGTATCGTAAGTGGCAGTGCCCATTTTGCTAATGTATCAATTGGAATGTGAAGGTTGTGACTCTCCAACGATCACTTAGTGAGCCAGTAACTGAGTCCAGAATAGATCCTGGGTGTCAAATTCACAGCTAATATAAGTGGTATCTGAAATCAGTGCAGTTGCAGCCACCTCTGTTAGTGGTGAATTTAACCTTGGGCTCCTGACTCCCAGCCTTATGCACCAACACTGATACTGTCAGCTCAAATGGGGCAGCCTGGCTTTACTAACTTCAGTATTTTAAGGTGCTGTGGCCTTTTTGGAGCTTTCTTCATCAAATAATCCATTTAAGATGCTTGCCTGGATGTGTGCGATGTTCTTTGTGCCATCATCCTGCCTCGTGGAAGGCTAGCTTATGACATCATAATTGTTTCACAGTAGCATGTGTTATGGAAACTTTAGAGACTTAATTGAGCCATGGAGGGAAGTGAAGAACCAGGTCACCTCCCTGCATATACAAAATGTCTGCTGTCCTATTTGAAAGGAAAATAGCCAAGCATATAAGTGGTTATATTAAAATATTTACCAGTTTGCCTTTTAACTCTTGATGATGTTCTGATGGCAATGAAGTCAAAAGCTTATCTTCGTGATCTTGGAGATTTGGGGAATGCTTTAAATTTCAGGGTACAAATATGTAAGACAGTACTCCTCACGTACACGGTAAGTACAATTTTCCTATTGTTTTGTTGGCATTGTATTGGGGTTTCAAGATTTTATTATGGATTGTGTTTTATAGTTTGGGGTTGGAGAAATTCAACTGGAATAACTTCTCTTTGCTCCAGAAGTTGTTTTAAAATCATTTTTTTGGTTCTCCTTCCTGTTCCCTGAGAGTTTAATTTAATTTAAAATATTTTGTATCAAAGGGGGTTTCCTGTTGTTGGAGTTGAGTAGTTTAAAATGAGCTGTGAAACGTCTGTTATAGAAATAGGAACCCACGTGATGAACAAGGACTAACCTATTAATAAGTTGCATTTTCTTTAGCAGCGTTTCACTTCAAGTCCTTGTTCTTGGAGGATTTCATGTATGCGGGGAATTAGTTCACGAAGATGCTGCTGCTGGAATGTCAGTAATACGTAGGATGAACACTTATGAAGAATGACTTGCACTTGTTGGACTACTAACTGCCAGTGGCTTAGAAGTGGCTTATAAAATTGACTATGCAGAGATGAAGACCTTGGAAAACAGCTTTATCTGTGGGACATTAGCTTTTGGTTTCTATCTGCCTTTGTTGGCAGCTTCCCTTGAGACAGTTACCATCCCAGAGCAGCTAAAGTCAGCAGTTGCTAAGGTCTTGGTCAGCACCACATCCTGCAGTGTCACCTGTGGCCTGGGCTTCAAAGTGGAGGAGATATGTCAGATTGATCCGCATGGGAAAAGGAGTCATTGTAACTTCCGCAGGTCAGACTGCCTGACCAACTGGATCTGTGGGTTACTCCATTTCACTGTCCCCACTGGCAAACCATTTAAGCTCAGCTGCCTGACCTCTGAGATGATTGGTGTTGGCAGCCAGGCCTTTATCTACACCTGGAGGCTTGCCAGAGGCATAATCACCACAGATGATCTGCTTTTCAAACCTTTCAAGACCCCAAGCTATGTCATCAAACTTTCCCCTGCCAAAGAATCTGATGCAGGGACTTACAGGTGTGATGTGCAGCTGATGAAGACATTCAAGCTTGTCAAGCGAATCTACTTTGGGCTTCGAGTGATCCCTAATGACTTAGTGGATCTGAACTTTCAAAAATCCTTGACTCTGGAACAGAAACTAGCAGCAAATGAAAAGGAAGGAAACCAACAGAATGGTACCAGCGTCGTAGTACAATGGCATCAGCAGTCTTGGCAAAGAAGGGCCTTGTTGGTGTTCCTGATAGGAATTGGAAGTGGGGTAGCAGGAGGTGTGTTGGTGGGCACAGTTCTCTACCTTTTGCTGGAGGCTCGCAGGAAAAATAGAGCCACAGAGGAGTGAACTGCTTTTTAATGTGGTCTCTTCCGACAGAGGGATAGCTTATTGCAATACTTATGCTGTCTTAGTGGCAGTATTTCAAACTGATATAGGTGTGTGATTCTGATAAACTGAGATTTAACTATTAAAGCAATAAAATAATCTCTCATGATGTGCTTGTTTTTAGTTTCATAAGTCTGTGGTAAGTCACCACAGGACTTAGGAGCCAGGAACTCCTGAGTATTAATGTTAGCCCTGGTGCAAACTTGGGCAAGTTATGTAGAATCTACATTTTTCAAAAGGGTCCATTAATTTTGGGTGTCCAACCGAGCCCCCTAAGACTTGAACTTTAGGAGGGTACAGATGATTGCAGATAGAGTAGACTGCTCGTTGCTCACCAGTTGCCATCCTGCTGCCTTCTGACTAGTTCAGAACAGTGTTTCCCTAACTAGTATTCATTCCACTACTGGCTTTTGCAACTAGTTTGCTGGGTTCCCTCTCCCTACCTTAATTGTAGTGCAGTAGTGCATATACGTCCTCCCTGAGATCGGAGCTCCATTGTGCTAGATGCTGTGCAAACACGTAGTGAGACAATCATACAATCGTAGGACTGGAAGGGACCTCGAGAGGTCTTATAGTACATAGTACAGTCCCCTACACTCAAGGCAGGACTAAGTATTATCTAGACCGTCCCTGACAGCTGTTTGTCTAACCTGCTCTTAAAAATCTCCAATGATGGAGATTCCACAGCCTCCCTAGGCAATTTATTCCAGTGCTTAACTATTCTGACAGGAAATTTTTCCTAATGTCCAACCTAAGCCGCCCTTGCTGCAGGTTAAGTCCACTGCTTCTTGTCCTAGCCTCAGAGGTTAATGAGAACAATTTTTCTCCCTCCTCTTTGTAACAACCTTTTATGTAGTTGAAAACTGTTATGTCCCCCATCAGTTTTCTCTCTCCAGACTCAACAAATCCTATTTTTTCAATCTTCCCTCTTAGGTCATGTCTTCTAGACCTTCCGTTCAATCATTTTTGTGCATTGTCTACCTTATCGCACTGCTTCCATGATGAACTTCAGTGCTGGGTCTCCACTGCCTTCTCTATGGGTGTGTATGCACTCTCTTCCCCACCGGACCTTGGGCAGCTCTAAACCCCAGTCATGCAACAGTTTGGAGCCACTCTAGCTTCCTTTGCAGGCTAGAATGGGGAGGCTGCAAGCATTAGCTGGCACAACCACAATTTTCATCTAAGTTGGCACAGGTACTGGGATCCAACCACTTTCGAGTATGGATAAGCCCTTCTTCAGCCATTCAGAAACCAGTTTATTCTTAAGGATTTTTTTTTAAAAGGATTCAGTGCTCTTATGAGTCTGCTGAAGTCACTTTCCCTTGTGTTGAGAGAATAAATCACGTAGCAATCAACAGTAGGGAACAGTTCTCTACTGGTTGTAAGATCCACAGTCTTTTCTCACTCTAGTCTCTGTCTCTGGTTTACTATAACAATAGGGTTTTCACTCTCTCTGCGAAACAAATTAGGAAAGCAGAAAAACCTACAGTACGTCTAATTCAGGGAAAAATTATGACAAGCGTTAACATTTGAAATGTATTATGCAAATCCCCCCAGTTACTTCTTTACAAAAACGTGATATTTTATGGCAGAGGGGGATGAACACAAAAGTAAACGAGTTCTCTGCAGAGCATCTTCTATAAAAGCCAGTATGAAATATATTGTTTAAATACACAGGGCCAGGTCTTCAGCTAGTTGGAATTGGCACAGCTCCATTGACTTGTGTGTCTTAATTGCTAGTCATTGAGAGTGTGCATGCTGCAACCTCTTTTGAAAAGTCAATTCTTTGATGATACGGTTATAATAAATGACTGGCCGTTACTACTTTGTTTCAATTGCTGGAGCAAATTCCTACTTACTCCACAGATGTATTTGCAACAATGCTGCTTCAGTTTAAAGGACTTCTCAGAAAAATAGGGCTAGAACCCAAGCTCTGGAAAATTAAAAACTGTATTACTATGCTTGGGGAATAATAGGTGTGAGGTTTCTTTAATGTACTTGCAGCATTTCCTCTCTTGTGCTGGCCCTGAAAACTGGCCTTGTGGGACTATGGTAGGTCAAGGATTTATCCATAGTCCTACAGGGTAGTGATGAAAGTAAGACCTGTGAGTTGCTACCAATTGGCTATATAAATGAATGTAAATGGAGAAGAGGAGGAATTCAGGGTCACCACTGGGGGTAGATATGAGATGCAAATGAAGGCAAGGAAGACTTAGGCTGAGTACCAGGAAATCTTTCTTGTCTGTGATGTCCATATTGTGGTTTAATCTCCTGGGGGAAGTCTCCAAATCCCCGTCACTTAACTAAAAAATCAGTAGATAACATATTGTAGGGAGAAAAGTCCTGCACTGGCAGAAGGGAGAGGGAGACTAGATGCCTCTTCTGTATCTGTTTTCTAATAGTCCAGGGCTGTGCATGCATGCCAGTGTTACTGAGAATACAGTGTACTTTGTTGGCTTACTGCAGGGGGTCAGAGGCATGTGGAGCTGGTCACAAACCTGTGATCCACATTTTGCTGAGCCCTGTCGGATGTCCACTGTGGAAAAAGACATTGGAGCTCTACACTGTCGTGACTGACAACAAAGGGCTATACATTGTCCTGCCATCTAGAGATTTGGTCCCATGAGATAGAAGTTCCTGGATGGTGATCCAGTTGTCCAAGACTCTCCTGCTTCTCTTCTTCATCAGCTTCTTCTGACTCAGCTCAATAATACTAAGATCTCTTCTGCCCTCAGTCCCCGTTCTGTCATCTTCCTTCAGCTGCTCCATCCGGCTTTGCACCATGAACTCCTTTCTTTGTTTCTGCTGCTTAGATAAGAGCAAGTGTTGCCTCCTCTCAGCCTTGTTCCAGTACTTCCCAGTCTTCAGCTCGCTCAAGGCATCGTCATCTGTTGTCATTCCACTGCGTTCCTCCATGACCCTTAGTGCCCTGTCCTTTAACAGTTGACTCTTGTGCTGTTTATTCAACAGTTGTCTGCTCCTTTTGCAGGACAGGCTCCACCTGTTCCCCTCATCTAGTTTGCCCTGGATGCCTTTGCTGCATTGATGTGAGAGCATTGATGGACTAGGCTGGTCGCTTAAGCACTCTGCAGAGGCGTCTTCCTGCACTAGGTTCATATAGCTCACGTAACGGCGTGCATGATACGGAATCACAAGTGCTTTTGGCCCAGTAGCAATGTTCGCAGGTGTAAGAGAAACTGGTTCTGGTTCCTTCTGCCCTTCTGTTGATTTATCCACATTTGCTTGTTCTCGGACTCCATTCACTGCATTCTGAGGACGAAGTCCAGCTTTGTGGTTTGTCCCTTTTTCTTTGCTCATGGCGCTGTCTCCAACCAGCGGAGGGCACTCTGCGCGAGACTGGCCCAAAGGATACTTAGCAAGCCATTGGTCTTGCAGTGTGGATTGCTCAGACCCTTCCTCCTGAGCTCCTGAAGCATGTGGCGTTCCTTGGTCTGTATTAAGAGTCTTAAACAGCTGATATTGGTGGCATTTTCTTTCCAAGATTTCTTGAAATCTCCTGTACTCTTCTGGGCTTACACCATAGAAACTGGAATCACTTAACTCATCGTAGGTTAAGAACTCATCAGTAGCTAGCTCACTACTTGCAAGTGTCCCGCCAGCATGGTGATCTGCCTCCTCCTTCTTCTGGACATAGGGGTGTTCAGCATCCATATCGGGTCCTGAATTCTCATCCAGCTGGGCGCTTCCATCAGTACAGCCAACCCCACTGTCCCAGTCTTGGGGGAGCAGAAATGTCTGCTGTCCTCCCTTTTCATCCGCCTCATCTTCCTCTTCTGTCTAAAAATGAACACACACATCGTTTTTAGTTTTTCCTAATGCAGTTTTCCTACACAGCTATGCATGAGTCCCTAAGCCAGCTATCAAGAAATGGAAACACAGCACTCAGTAAGCTACTGCAGATGCATTGCAGACTTCATGGGAGATGGAACGTTTCCCATCTAATGCATTACATCAAAGGCAGATTATAATAACTGTGTGAATAGGGAAATACAGGATTAATGGAGCCTTGTAGCCAATTATATTTTAATTTGTCTCCTCACTCACTTCCATGTTATCTTCCTTGCTTCTCACTGAGCAGAATATTGTTAAACTCTAGAGAGATGCTTTGAGGCATTTTTACTGAGACTTACTTTGGATACATTTCTTTTCCCTTGAGGAAATACATTGCAGTGCGCGCACACATTCAAATCCTAGCCCTCTACACAGCTCTGCCAGTGCCTCTCAGTCCTAACCCACAACACCTTTCTATTTCAGGCACAGATCTCTACGGAGCAGAGGTTGACCAAACCATAAATTACAGCACACTGGACAAATATGTGATCAAATTTCATCCCTGCCTGAACCCAGGGCTTAGTACAGTCCTCCAGAAGTTCGAGAGTCACCCGTCACCCTCTTCAGTCCCCAAATTTGCTGTATAAATAGGTTTGGGCATGTGCTTACCAAGCTGAAGCAGATGCTGTAGTTATCTTTAGGGATAGTATAACAGCTGCTGAAGCTCAGCTCCTTTTGACGAACGAGGGCCAGTTCCTGAAAGAGAGAGAGACAAAATGTTACATGTACAGAGAACGTTAAGTCTAGTTTAGCAGCCCTGACTCAGGATAAGGCTGAGGTGGCTGAATAAGATTGTCAGAGTCTGACTTCTCCAGCTCCCTTCCTCCTCAGCCTAGGAGAGGAGTCTGATTTGATTTCTTTATTATTTAGTATTTATATTAGCATAGAGCCTAGGAGCCCTAGTCTAGTCACACTCCAGGACCCTGTTGTGCCCTCAAGTCTCTCTATGTACAAAGGCAAATATGAAGAGGGAGAAATGCTACCTCATAGTCCAACTGTTCTTCGTTTTCCACGTCATGAGGGGCAGTCGGCAGGTAACCGGGTTCATTGTCACCATTTCGATCTTGGGGCAGCAAGTAATTGTAGCAGGACCTGCGGGGAGTGGTGAATAAAAGACGGACAGTGATCCCCCTAGGAGGATGGGTGTGGCCCAAGAATCGGAAAGCTTCCCTTTTCAATGTCCTACGC